ACATGCTACGTGTGTATTTATACACACTCAGACTGTGGATAGATAAATCGACAGACAGAGAGATGCATGTAGATAGATGAATGGGTCCACACGACCGCATGACCATTGCGCCAACCAGCCAACCAACAACTGGCTCCTTGATTCCGTTCTCAGTATATCAGCAAAACCCATCCAGAAAGGACATCCAAGTGCTGCTGGTTCTCGTCAGTAGGCAGACAGTTCGTTGCAGGGGTTCTGTGCACAGACTTACTTGTTGATGATTCATGAGGAAAGCAAGCAAGAGACGACACATTGCTTTCTCAGAAGGCCACGCACAAACATCATCACCCGAATCGTGGGGGTAGGTCTAGAAGACGTCAAACCATCCAAGCATCCAACCATCACTGAGGAGGACGGAGGCCACCCTGCTGCGTAGTGCCGCAGCGCAATGGGTTGCTTGGCTCCGTTGAACTCGGGAGACCCTGAAAGAAGTGGAAGAGAGAGCCATCACATGGTCCACGATGGTCCACGAGTCGGCATATTGCTTATGGGCATTTCTGGGGCCCCAGAAAAACGTTATGCGTGCATTGCCACTGTCTTTCACCAAGCCACAGCCACGAGCGCATGTGGGTCTGGTCCTTTTTCCAGCTCAAACTCTCTTACATACATACATACATACATACATACATACATGAAACATCATGAAGCAGTGGTGCAAATCTGACATAACAACACCTGCCACGTGAAACGACAAACAGTGTATGTGAAGTGAAGAAGCATCAGAAGTAAGAAGCTTCTTCTGGAAGGATGCAGCATCATGCCTGCTTCCTGTCACCGACCCATCAAACATCAATGTATAAGAACATATGAAGCATCATGCAACTATTTCCCAGACACTCAATGCATGCCATATTATCATGTTTGCCTACATTGGGATGGTTTGGAGAGTCAATATAGGCATACTATATATGATCACATATGGCAGTCCCATGATATGGAGTGTCTGGGTTCTCTTCATTTTGGCGGACAGTGACATGCATCGCATTTTTCATATTTGTTCATCATTTTTCCGCTGAGATCCAGACTTCTTGGCGTCGGCATCGCGCGCAACAGCGCCGGGGGGCCCACCTTGGTGGAATGCATGTTGGTTATTGCAACACCAGGATCTGTTAAGCGTCCATTCGGAAGGAAATACAAGGAAAGCAAAGAAGAAGACAGAATGATGTGTGGTTGTTTCGTGTGTTGTTTCTAGAAGAGGAGAAGTCTAGTCTAGTTAGTCCCTTGTTTTTTGTTCAGGCTCCAATTCTACAGAAGCTGTATTAAACACGGACAATGTGAAGAATAATCAGGACTATAAGAAAGATCGTCGTTGGTTGAGACAGGACGGACATGGAGCCTCAAAAGACAATCTCTTCCCCCAAGACGAACTACGTTTGATGCAGAGTCGCCCCAGTTGGGTCAAGCTCCAGGAGTCAAGTCTACAAAAATCAAGAGAGGACCATTGAGCAATTTAGAAGAAGGTCTTGTTGGAAAGATACTTAAGGATGGCGCCCAAAGCAGTTCATGGCAGTTCATCGTTTTGTTAGCTTTTCCTTCAACCTTTTTCTGGCAAAATGCGGAGGTGTTGCTCCAGTGCTGCGGCGCCGTCAGCTGGCCGCTGCGCGCTTCTGGGCATGGATTGCTGGGCATTGCCCATCGTGTCGCGCGTTTGGTTCGGGGAATCGAGGTGCCGTTTTTAGTTGCACAGCCGCACAGCATCGGATTGTTTTGTCTACTTTGGAGTGCGCATTCAATCTGCAACACCGTAAATTGTTCATGTTCACAAGGAAAAAGGGTGATTTGCCAGCAGAGTGCTGTTATTTTTTTTGTGCAGGGTCCCTTGCTGTAATTTGACGTCCAACATTTTACCGGACATATTCTTCTTCTGCTTTTGTTCAGGAGCTGAGATAAGTCCCACATATTCCACTGTGACTCGTTGGATGCTCAACCATGGCTGAGGATTGCAAGGCATTCACCGCATGGCCAAAGCGCGAAGAGAACTCAAGCGGCTGCAGGAGGAGCGACTGCAAGGGTGACGGTGAGCGATCAAGAGCCGGCTTCTCCTTGCATTTTGTAGCTGGATGTGCAGCTCTGAATCTTTGAGCATATGTGAAGCTTACTGCCTCAAATGTTTAGTGCATTCAGTGGAGGTTTACTGCTAGACCCGGCAACATGAGATGATTGACTAAATCAAATGTTTGTAGATCTTACTGTAGGTTTCAGTGAAGCCATATATATATATATATTAAAATATATAGTTATTTTGTGCATTCGGATTGGGCTAATCCCAGGGTCGGTTGGTTCACCCCACTTGGGAATCCTAGGTTTAAATGGTTAGTCCAAGCGGTCCACACCCCTTACTGAATTATCCCTCAGACACACACACACACCGTGCCCACAAGTGCCTCCACCCTACATTGTAAAAAGTCTCATGGCGCGCGCCACAAGCTCGCGCTGCTTTGGCGCAGGAACGGGAGCAGAAGGAACAACTCTCTGCCATCAAGATCCAAAGTCATGTGTGCCCCGGTTGAGTCGACCGGGTTGGCGTGAGGCTCTAGGGACTCGCAGCGCGGCGACCGGGTTTCCATCGTTTTGGCCGCTGTTCCTCAGGTTCTGGATAGCAACACTCCTTGAAATAAATCATGTTTTGGTGGAAAGCCACCACCTGCTTGAGACGAGGATTTCATAATGTGTTTTCTTTGGGGGTGCCATGCCATCCACCTACTGTAACCATGATTTCAGTAAATTTTATGTGGGTGCCATAGACGTCCCAAACCTCGCGGAGTTCGCTATTCATGTGGAGGATGAGGTGCACGCCTGTTTTCCCCTTGTTGATTCTAAGCAGACAAGATCGGATGACATCCAGTGACACGAGTCCCTCGCGGCATCGCGCGGCCTTTTTCTGTTATTGTTTGTTGCTTGTGACCCAGCCACGAAGCACATCGATCGCCTGCAGATCACATTTGCTTGGGATTGGCGGTTTCCCCACTCAAATACAACAGGTGGAAAGTTCACTTCACTTTGATATACTTTGATATTTTTTCGGTCGAACCGGCTCCGGGTGACCGGCTTAGGACGAGTTCGCGTCCCGCCCGCCTTTCTGAGGCGAAGTCGCCATGCACAGAAGGAGGCCAAAGACTCGAATGTCCGATCGGACGACTCGGTTTCAAAACCAGCTCGGATCATGGTGCCTAGGATTGAAAAAAGTCGAAAAGTCATTGCTCGAAGTGTTCCTTTTGTTACATGTTTATGAGGATTCTAGAAGACCAAGCCAAGCCAAGCTTTCTTTTACAGAAAGGGACGCTGTCAGGCCCCCCAAACTACACGTTTCTGGACATACATTGAATTATGCATTATATTAAACTATTATAGTATCTTTATATACAGCAACTATATATAGATAGTAATATTATCATCTTTTCTGGCTGATCGTAATCAAAAAAGCAATCTAGCAAAGAGTGTATACAAAAGTACAACCTGGATCGATAGAAAAAAGCGAGGGACGCTGTCTCTCTAAGAAAAATCAGACTTCTCGATTCTCGAATAAAAAAAATCCATAAGGTGTAGCAAACTAGGAGCATTTGGTACAGGCTGGGACGGGGGGTCGACAAAAAAAGAATTGGTCGACCGCCCCTCCAGATTAGGAGCCTTTGGCAAAGGCCAGGAGGAGGGTCGACCGAAAAAACAATAAAAACTTAAAAAGACATGCTTATTTTTTCGGTCGACCGCCCTCCCAAGGAAGAAACTCCAGCAAATGTAGGAGAATTGGATATTTTTGGTCTTTTTTTGGTCTTTGAAGGCTAGGGTGGTCAGGTGGTCTTTGGATTTTGATCAGATCTGATGTGTTCGACTCACTACCGACCTGATCGGGAACCACCAGGTCGAAGGTGCTAGTTTGTGAGTAACGAAGTGTTGATAGAAGTTGGGGAAAGGATCACGTTTTGGAACGCGGGAGATTAATCTCCTGTTGCAACACGTTTGGTTTGCTTTGCTTTCTGATGTTAGTCTTGTTTGATAGTGTTTCTTGGTGTTTTTTTCTTCCGTGTGATCTTTCACTGTGTCTTTTTTCTACTGTTTGTTTCTGTTTGTTTGTTTGTTTGTTTGCTTGTTTGTTTGTTTGTTTGTTTGTTTCTTCCGTGTGATATCTCACTGTTATTTTTTGTGGTTTTTGTCTTCGTGTTTTTTCTTTGGGTGGTTTTTCTTCCGTGTGATCTCTCATGTTTGTTGTTTATTTGTTCTTGTCTCCGGTTTTTAGTTCTTGGTGTTTTTTTTTCATCATTTTGGTGTTTTATTTTCTATTCGTGTTTTTTTTGTGATTATTTTATTTCTTTTTTTTAAGTCTCGGTCTGTTTTTCTGTGTGAGTTATTCTTTTGTTTTTGTTTGTTCCGAGTGATCTCTCACTGTTTATATTTTTTCTGGTCTCCGTGTTTGTTATTCTTGGTGTGTTTTTCTTTCGTGTTTTGTGTTCTTGTGTTCTTTCACTGTTTTTTCGTTTTCACTGGATTCCAAGGTAGTATGCTTTGTGTCAGCAACCCGAGGGTAAAATTTATATAGAGCAGAAATGAGCCCTTCCAAGGTAGCATACCTTTGGTGAGCCACCCAAGGATAAAGTTTAGAGCAGAAAGGAGTTCCAATGTGGCAGACCTAAATTGAGAGGACAAAGGAGCCATTCCAAGGTAGCATACCTTGTGTGAGCCACCCGAGGGTCAAATTTAGAGGAGAAAGGCGCCATTCCAACGTAGCATTCCCTGTGTGAGCCACCCTAGGGAAAACTTTAGAGAAGGAAGCAGCCATTCCAACATATACGAGTCATAGGAGGTTCAATTTTAGTGAAGACTGGAGCCATTCCTACGTAGCATACCTTTTGTGACCAAAAAAGGGCCGACCTGAGCCTGTGTTCCAAATTGAGTCTAATCGTGTGTTTGCGTTCCAGATTGGGTCTAATCGTGTGTTCCAAAATGAGTTGTTTGCCAGAAGTTGGCACGTATGAGTTTCAAACTTGGCTGGGTTGCACAGTATCATACCTCTAAGGAAGTTATATTGGAGACTCGCATGCGAGAGCAAGATGACCTCAAGATGGCCACGTTGCCTTGGGTGGGCGAGATTGCACTTGTGCTTGCGATTGGTGCCACATGGTATGGTGCTGAGCGGCAGCTTGCAGGTGAGACGCCAGTGAAAGTGAAGGACTGCGTTGGATCCTCTGTGAAGGAACGTTTGCGCGGTACTGTGCCACTTGTTTTCTGTGACACTTCCAAGTTCCAAGCTTGAACATCCTCACTTGGCTCTTTCCTAGGATGCCAGCTTGTGCTTGCGGAGGTTTACAACATGGCTGCATTACAGAGTATGTCACTCTCGATGCTTCAGAGATGGTTATGTTGTGGGGGACTGGAATTTGACTGCTCCAGATCCAAACAGTTGGGTGCGAACATTCTTTGACATTCACGGCTGCTTCATCTCTTATTCATTCTTTTTGTGCAGGTATCACGTTGGCTGAGTGCAAGGAACATCGATTTCCCTACTTCGAACTTCGAGTTGGTTTCTCAGGTTTGCACATGCCATTGGGAAGATCAGTGATCACAAAATTGCAGCTCCAGTTCGGGCAGAAGAAGAGAGACTCAGGAAACGCAAGGATTGGAAGAGACCAACGTGGCTCTCAGACCGCTGCAGCACCAGACCAGGGCCTCGAGCAGCTCATCATTGACAGATCTTGGCAGCATTTGCAGCATTTGCAGTGGAGATTCAGTTGGACCCAGCACAGCTTCCAGGTTGGCTTGTGGAGGTGCGCCAAGCTGCCGGGTAAAGACTATGATGTCTGGTTTGTCAGCCTTTCAGTGGTGGTGTCAGGTTTGTGGTGCCATCAACCCACACTGGGATCACACGTGGCAGTGTTTGCTCAATCGTGCTCCACCCTCGAGGCCTAGGTCACTCAATGACTTGGAATCGTGTCACGCCTTCCAAACTCAGTTGTGCAACTCGGTTTGTGAGCGCAAACCTTTTGAAGACCAGTTCCACTTCCCTTTCTGAGGCCTTTGGCACTGACTGGCTTTGTCTTTCTGGTTGGTTGAAGAGGAGCACGTGCAGGTGAACCACCAATGGGTATAATATCCAACCAAATTGACCACTCCTTTTTTCTCAAAGGACATCATTGGTATCGTATCAGCCCTTCATCACCATCAATGCTCTTGTCATTATTTGGTGGAAAGGTCGGCAGTGAAAAGGCGGCACCGCCTGGGTAGCAATGTGGCCGATGGATATGGCCGGTTTGACGATCACGTCCTGTTGACCCGATTTGATCAAGTGCATCATGAACCCTCCATTGGAAACTGTTGACCAGCGAAAGGAGGCTTTTTACCCCGTTGCTTGAATGACTGGGAATAGGCCCCGAAACGGTCACGCCCTCCAAACTGAACTCACCCTCCATGCCGCGCCAGGTGGGACCTCTCCTCCAAGCACGGCGCGAAAGAGCGTCTTGGCAGAACCTTATAGATCCAGTCTGACCCCTGAAAGCCTCGTTGAGTCGTCGTGCTTGTGCATGATCAGTTAAAAGGATGTCAAACTGACTTGTAGGTAATGCTGACTGACTCTCTCGCTCTCTCTCTCTCTCTCTCTCTGGTATATATATTTGCAAAATTGTATGTATGAATATCAATACTACTTGATCATCAATCCCCCAGTTCAATCAAGTGGGTCCGTGCCTTGCCGTGTTTTCTCGTGTTCTTTACCGGATTTCCGGTGAAATGCCATCCATGGTGGGGTAAAAGGATGAATTTGCAAGCTGGAATTCTGGTGAATTTCTTGAACCTGTCGGTTGATACAGAACAAAACCAAGTTGCTCCAAGGAATTCTAGGGCTGCTGGGAAGGTGGGACTGGGTGGGTGCCAGGGGGGTCCAATTACCTTCTGAGGATGCGGCGAGGAGCGCTAGGGTTCCAACGGATAGTTCGAAACTTCCCTACCCAGTCAGTGGAACTCCTTTAGCTCTTGGGGATGGGACCACCCCCACTCAAATCCAACAGGCGAACAGTTCACCTGTCCTTTTCCAGGAAAAGCGGCTACTGGGGAAAACTCTTCAGTGGATGAACTCTCGCATCGTTTTCACGTGACCTGGGGAGGCGGATCAGAGGCCGGTTCCATCGGATCAAGACTTCGATCAACCAGGGGCCAGTGAACAAAAAGACCCATCAACGGGATGGGATTTCAGGAAGCAAGTCTTGCTTTCAGAACGCAGAGGAAAGCATCAACAACAGATCGGTGACCATGGATGACCATCAACGATGATTTGTTTTTTTGCAATCACCATTTGCATGCAATGTGGTCAGGGTATGTTTTGGTGCATATGCCCTTGGTTTGGGCACGGAATTTTCACCCACATCAAGATCGCATGTGAACGAGAACAACATGCGAGCCATGTGGAACATGGTGGAATTCTATTAATGGGCAGCACGGATACAACTCTACGACCTAGATGTGTTCAGTGACCAGGAATGATACCCCATTATCACGGCCGCTCGTGAGAAATCATGCTAATTCTTGTTTGGAGGCCATCGCTATTAGTAGCTTCTTGCTACTACTAGTAGAAGCAATGCCCTTGTTACTAGTAGCTTCCAGTTCCTAGTAGTACCGCTCCACTCGTTTCGACTCGTTAAGGCCCAGTTTTTGCAGCGCTTCATGCGGAAGATCTGGGCGTCGCGTGGCGTCATTTTCTTCTCCGCCAAAGGGGGTTCCTGGTGAAGCAGGTGTTTCTTCGGTGCGTGGGTGGTGCTTTTTGGTGAATTTAGCTGAATGCCGTGGGGAGGGGCAGCATGGGCTCAGTTTCCACTTGAAGAATGTACAGGAGTGCAGATGTTTTCTGCCAAGTCTGAGAGTTCTTGACTGAGTCTGGGATGTCAGTGATTGCACCTGGGAGGGTTTATTTCCTGCGGCAAGGAGGTCCACCGGCAGGGTATGCCACTGACATGTCAGTGACAAAACACCCAGAGAATTCCAGATTCTACAAGGAATCAAGGACCGTGAAGCCATGTATGTTTGAATCGTTTTTGGAACCATGTGCCTCTAGTCGTCTATCGTATTCCGAAAAAGTGATTTCTCTGTTTTTGTGCTCTTCAAAAGAACAGACCTGAAATCTGCATACCAAACAGGTGCCATCCACAAAACCAGGGAGTGTAGCTCCTGAGGAACAGCCACCTAGCATCCGAAGCGCTGAGACACCCGCGTCCGGGGTGGTTTTCCTGTGCGAGTTCGATGCATTTAGGAAAGGCTGCGTGCACCTCGAGAGAGGCCGCGGTGAAACGGAATGTCGACTTTGGAACCTGACCAGAACCAGCTGTTGGGTGAAACAATGTGAAACACAAAGGAGTATATTACAGCTTTCTTTGATGCTGAGCTAAAGCCGTAGTCCTTATCCAGATACATTTGCGACTGATTCGCGGACTGTGAAGCTGCTGAGGTTGCGACAAGTCCAAGCATTGCGAAAGGAGCGTGCCTCAATCAAGGCGTGCATGACTGGCTGAAGCATCCATTTCGCACTTGCAGGGCCATGCAGCAAGTTTTGGGTCAAGAAGAACCGCAAAAAGATCATGGAAATTCTGCGAGCTACAGTGTGCTTGCCGACGGACGAATCCTCATCATGTTCTCTTGTTCGGCAGGGAAAGCCGGTGAAATCTATAATATATATATATATACACCGATCTATCCTGTGAATAGGTGGTGTGAACATGGGAGAGACATGGAGATATTCCATCATTATCATCAACTGTAGCTGATAGCTTCTGGCACCAAAGGTTGGCTGTGATGTGAGGGGCAAGGGATCATGACTGCCAAATGCTCCTCACCAATGGGAAAGGTGTAAGGTTTTGACCTCTGGTAGAAACGCATGTGGGCAGGCACTTGGCAGAACCCAGCTCATGCACGCTATTGACTTGCTAGATTGGAAGTTATATCTGCGTGACACGATTGAATTCCGTCCACTAATCAAAGAATCAGAATTGGACTTCATTTCTTTGTATATACTGCAACAATAATTATCGGCATGGCTTGCCGGATTTTTAGCTGTTCAAAGAAGGAGACATCATTTCACCAACTGTTCTCGTTCGCTTCGATTGTGCAGGTGCAGAGCACTTGGCGAAGACAACTGGCCATGGCCGAAGCAACGAAGCGGCGTGCGTGGGGGACCTGTCAGAACGCATATTTTCGGCCAGAGGGTTCTGGCTGGGAGCCTTCGCATTTCCTGGCCACCACACAGGTTAGTTCTGGATGGTTTGGTCAAGGCTTTCCAGAAGTCTTTTTCTCCTCAACTGGTGCAGGAGGGTCTATTTTTGTTTTCGGCCTTTGGAATTCTGAAGAACTGCAGCGAAACAGAACGGTGAACACCGAAGCGTGCGCCGCTTCAACCTGACTAGAGGACCCAACATCGGACCATCGAGGGCAGGGGGTGTCCACAATAACGGCTTCCAGACAAGGCACCCCTTGGAGGCTCCACTTTTGAGTAGATGTTCTTGGCCAATCTTTGACACTCCAAAGTTCACGACAAAAAGGAGGCCCGCTGTAGAAACCGTGGACAACATGAAGGTGAGGCAGACCCATGCTGTTTCACCGCAGACGATGCTTTTACTAGACTCGACCGTAGAAACCTTTATACTGTAGACCTTTCCTTTTTGATGCTGTGTTTTTGTTGTTTGTCTTCAGACCTTTCTCTCTGTCTCCTTTTTCTTGGATTATTCCTGCCTCTTCGGTATCTTTAGTGCCTCGGATTCTCTTTCCTTTTCTTTGGACCCTGCTCGACCTGCACTGAATCACTGAAGGCGGGAAGTGGACCAACTCTTAAGCTCTCTGCTGGAAGGACGCCGGCCGGGCTTTTTGCGGTCGGCGACGGCGCGTGCACGACAGCCGGGCGGTGAGTAGTTTGAAGACGAACTGCTTTCAGATTGTAGGTGAGTAGACCATTGCAAGTCAGAAGTATGTGTGTTTCTTGACGGACAACTACACTAACTAATTACTTGTTTTATTCTACAATTGAACACGTCGGACGGCAAGCTAAGATGTTTTGCCGTCCTGTAAGTAGTTCCAAGCGCGGACTTTCACCTGTGACCAATGTTACACATTCAACTGGCTACCAAGATCATCAAAGGTTAAGTAGTCCTGTGGGTTGGGTTGTCCTACCCTGTCAGTTTGGGGATGGGCCAGACCCCACTCAAATCCAACAGGTGGGTGGAAAGTTCGATTCACCTTTTCCAGGGAAAGCGGCTCGCAGGTCATTGTAGAGTGTGCTTGTGCTTCACCCGCGGACGAAAAAAACAACGCCTGCTCAAGAGAGGAAAGAACGCGGAAAACAAGGGACATCCAAGCATTAAGGCGTCGAATACCGAACAACCGCCATGAGAAGTGTTCACCTTTCTTTTCATTGTTGAGGGCTAGAGCGGGTAGGGCCAAGTTTAACAGAGCCACTTGTCCCCTCACCAACTGTGCGCAGCACGCGGGCAGCGCTAAACATAGGGCTCTCGGGCGTTGATTTCAGAATGTTATTCATGAAGGTGAAGAAATTATAGTCTATCAGCACCCTCCAGCCTCCAACAGGTTTTGGGGCTGCTTTAGAAGAGACTTAAAAGTCGCAAGTGGTGACCTGTTGGAGGGTCCTGGCCGAGGGACATCTTGATATATCTCAATGGGTTCGTTTGTCGAGAACACCAAAACAACATGAAACAACCAATTTCGATGTGCTTCATCTATGCCCATGACGTTTCCGCGTTCAAGTAGCCACCCCCCTTAGTGACAACAACAACAACAACTTCGAATTACTGTTAGTAATTGTTCGAGCATCACCTGTTGGAGCTTCCTGAGTATGTCCCGAGTCCCGAGTCCAACATTTCTTTTTGACCATATGGACAAGTGTTATAAAAGAAACAGCCAACAGCCTGGACGACACATTTGAGTTGCACCAAAAAGGGTCGACACCGAATTCCGGCGCTCTCCATGCCCAAGGACGCCCCGAAGCCATGGGGACCTGCGGCGGGCAAAGTTGGCTTGCGAAGGCCAGGTCTCGTGAGGTGGAGGAACGGTGAAGCACGGATTTGTGATCGAGTGAAGCACGGATGTGTTGAAGCATGTTGAAGCACATGTGTTGATTGAATCCTTCTTGGAGGCTTCCAAACACTTGGATCAGCTCAAACTATTTCAATCCCCAAGATCCGGAAGTTTCTTTCCCTATTCTAGTC